TGTGTGTGTGTGTGTTTTCTCTCTTGATTTTGGATGTTAGTTACTTGGGGTCTTTTTACTTCTCCATAATTTAGGGAGTAACTTTGTGTTCTTTGGTTTCACCGTGATTATTCAAGTGAGTTCTCAATGAGGGTGTTGTTATTCCGTGATTTTCACATAGTCTCTTTACGTTCCACTCAGGTGTTATCTGTGTTATAAGAACTTGTTTTGGTCCATTTTGGTGTCGTGATTGGGGTCATTATCAAATTTTTTTAAAAATAAAAGATTTTTTCAGTATTACTGCATTCAATGACCAAAGGTATCCGGGCTACTTCGGCCCTCCAGTCACAACTACAGATTGTTCCTTCTCACACAACAATTCCGAAACTTTCCTTTCCCGGATTACAAAGAATTACAAAGAAAAATGTTCCTTTTTCTTGACATAGATTAAAATAAAGTTAACGATTCTTTTCCTGATAACTGACGACTATAAAACAGTTTTTCCTTTTACTCAACACAGTCGACTCTAAAACAAACTTTCCTTTTCCCCAACAACAATGTTCACATAAATATATTCGTCTCACAACAATTGTAACACAAATTATATAATGTCTCCCAAACACAAACGTCAACACAAACTATATTCCAAACTAACATTTAAGCGAACACAAATTATATTCCAAACAAACAATTAAGTTAACAGAAACGTCCCTCCTCCCCAACAATATTATAACGATAACAGGTACGTTCAGTCTCCCCTGAAACCAAGACTCATCAAAATGTATTCCCCATAACAACTCACTCAGTGCAGGCACCAGAAGTTATAAGCAGTTGACGTAAGGAACAGTGTGATCTCCCCCTGAGGCTGGCTCTCAGGACAACAATCTTCACAGAGTTCTTCCAGCCTGTGTGTGTGAGACTGAGACTCTGGGAAACTTCCATCGACTCATGAGTGAAGTTTTCCCCTTGTTTCTATGAGTTGATATTGAGGTGTGTCAGAACTACCTGGATTCTAAACATTGATCACCAGGACGAGCTTCAGCGCGGATTCTTTGTGTTTGAGCGAAACATTTTGATTGTGGTTAGGGTAGCAATATATGTAGAATAGCTTCAAGGGCGTTTTGTCGTGAAGGGAAATGTATGAGCTGAGAAGTTTTCTGTAAGTTTCCCCTTCCTAGTGTTTGGAGGACAAAAAAGTACTTATAGATCTACTGACAAAGACAGTAAAGCTGTTAGCTCAGGACACTTGTATTGGCTAAAGGGAGCCATACATTTAGCCTTCTATCTGAGGAAAATAATTATACCCTGGAAACCAGTCTTCGGTGAACAGAAATAGATCTTACTGCCTGCTGTAGAAATAAAGGAACCATTGACGCTAGTGATTAACAGATTAATTCAGGTGTGAAAGATCCCTTCTGCTTCTGGATATATGTTCCTACTCACATTTTAAAAGTCATGGAATGAACATGATAACGAAAGAGGGAATTAGACCTAGTGAATTTCAAAGGAGCAGTTCTGCCAAAAAATAACAGGCAAACCTGACCTGTACACTCTGAGGTAAGATTGTTTTCTTATGATCACCAAGAGCTGCAACTGCAATATATCCATCATCATCATCATCATCATCATCATCATCATCATCATTATCTGTCTGTCTGTCTGCCAGCCTGTCTGTCTACCTGTC